TTTGCTCGCGAAAGGTCCGACTCCGGTCACACAGTCTTACAGTATATCGGACAAACTAGGTTCTTTTTGTTTGTTGTTGTGTTTTTTTATTTTTTTATAACCATTTAACAATTCCTTCTATCCCCAATCCCATATTTGTATAAGCTATTTTCGTTATATGAACTTCATATATTCATCGTATCTGATTTATCATCACGGGTTTATTACGAATCAACTTAACGGCCTGCTCCCAGTTGGCTTGTTAGCTCAATTGGTAGAGCGCTGCACTAGTATCGCAGAGGTCAGTGGTTCGAATCCCGTACAGACCTGAATTTTTTTTTTTCTTTTTTCCGGTCTGATTTTCTTTATTGCATAAATAGCGCTCTCTACTGCGAAGATTGTACATCATACATTAGCCATTTTCTCACACACTAAAGCAATCTTTTTACAAAACTTAAATATGATCTAAAAGATGAACACTTTCTCATCCAAAGGCATACTACACAGTAAGAGTAACGAAACAATTTGGATGATAAATTATTATGAACAGTCCGACTTTTTTTTTTTCAAATAAAAAAAAATTAAACAAAAAAAAAAAACCAATGCTTTCCATTGGTTAACCGGAAAGGGTCTCAATGGAGTTAACCGTTAACCATCAAGTGGCCCAAAATTTAACCCAAGTTCAGTCATGGAAAGAATATCTATTGCCTTTGGGTACATAATGTGGAATAACTATCACGTCAATGGTTTTCTTACTTAGAGAGGATAGATGCGTTTTTCACACTTTAGACATTAGGCGTTGCAAATTCCTTCCATCCCCAGCCATATATTTGAAAAGAAGAAGATCCCAAAACCTGAGCTTGCGTGAAATATTAGCAAATAAAGTATGTCTTATATTCGCCCAGTGGGAATAGTTGTAACCAGTGGGAGCTACTGGCCAAGCTTCATTGGGATGGAACTGCTGATTACTCCGCTGCGTTTGCAATTCCATACCCGTGCTAACTTGCGCTCGCCTTAAATGCAATTTCTCGAACAAGGCTCCACGAAGCATTTTCATCCGCCAGCAGTAAATCAGTGGATTGAGGAGAGAACAGACGTACCCAACCGTGCAGGACCATGCTGCCAATATGTACAACACATGCGGCTCCACTACATCGTCTGAGAAGGTTGCACCTCATAAAGTACGATTATGGGCAGGTAGGAGAACAACAGCGCTGTTAAAATGATTGTCAGCGTGTTAGCTGCCTTGTTGTTTGCTTTTTAAAGGCGCTTGGCTTCTTCATCAGGTAACTGCTCAGTTTTTAAACGGCGTTTCTGCTGTTTGGCTACCAAGAAGACAGCTGTATGAGTGAAGACGATGGCAGCAATGTAAAAAGCAAAAACAAATATGAACACCAAATTAGCCGTGACCAGCAGAATTAAATACAAATCTGATTCAATGTTTAAGAAGGCCAGAAAGATCATCACAACCATTCCAACTGCTGAAACAGCCCAGGCCGTTACCACGCAGCAATAACTCTCTTCTCTGTTACGATGTCATCATATCTAATAGGAAGCTTTATGAAAATGTAACCTTCAACGCTGATCAATACAAGATCACCAATTGACGCCAAGACACTTCCTAGTCCAGCGGCCGGTTGCCAGAGTGCCAGCAATAGCGGTTATCCATGATTAAGGCGTGTTCCTTATTACTGCACTGCTTATCCTGTACCGCGCATCAAATCACGGAATGGGGGAATAAGGGCGCATATTGCAAGAACACGGCATGGTCTTCTTTTAATCCATAAACGAGGTAAAGAGGTACGATGGTCCGTCTAGCTCTTAAAAGAGCACGGAGACCTGTATTGCCTACTTATTATATAATTTTGGTTTACAAATTATTTCAAAAAAAGTATCGAGGGCAAAAAACGGTATACCAAAAAGTCTGCACGAAGCCCGTTACTCGAAGATGCAACAAATGACTTCGACTCCAGGAAGTTTTTGAGTCGATGTCGTTTGACTTTAAGTGAAGATTTTTCCCCAAGTTGTGTATCAAATTGTTTCTTGGGCTCGAGACTTTTTATTATTAAGGTTTTTTCAAATGTTACTTTAAAAACCCTTGCTTCAGGCTACTACAACACGTACCGTAAAGGGATACAGCCATAAACTGGGAAAATTTGGCCCATAATATCTCTTAAACAAGCAGGTGACTTATCTTTTAAATGTATTTTTCGAAACAGACATTGGTAGGGGAACATTTAAGGAAAGTTTAAAGAAAAATGTGCGATACCTTTGTTTTCTTTTTCTGAGGAATCACCTTAAGAAGTAAATTTTAATAAAATTTGATGTCGAAGGTACTCCCTTCTTACGCTTTGTCCGGATTTTGAAGGATGTCTATGGACATCTACATTTACATGCTTGGTACAGCCTAAGAGGTGCAGTATCTTAGCTCGTCATTGAGTTCCTTATAAATTTATTTTTAGCAGTATGTAGATATCCGGTCGTCCTTCAAAACTGGCGAAGAGTTAATAATGGTAATTGAACTGAGTGGAGTGCAATTTGGGCTGAAATCATACG